GAGGCGGAGGCGGAGGAGGCGGGAGGAGGCGGGTGGAGGCGGGAGGAGGCGGGAGGAGGCGGGAGGTTGAGGAGGAGGAGGAGGAGGCGGGAGGAGGAGGAGGAGGAGGAGGAGGAGGAGGAGGAGGAGGAGGAGGAGGAGGAGGAGGAGGAGGAGGAGGAGGAGGAGTACGCAGGCTGAAGAGGAATCCGTCGCGCGGCGCGCCAACGGCCACTCGAAAACGGACCTGAGCCCGTGGCCCAGGTCCAGCGCTCAAAGCGACCCTCACCCAAATGCCCATCAAAGAATCACGGCGGGGAGGGGGTCGGAACGCAATGGCGAGCTGGAAGATTAGAAGCTCATATAATGATTAACGAGTTAATCATCCGAGTTGCAACCAGTGCACCTCGGGGTCAGAAACTTGCAGCCTTCTCTGCCCCGAAATGGTCTCACGACGACGCAAGTCCGAGGGGTGTCGGTTTGTATCGAACCGAAGGATATGAGAGGCTCCACGTTTACTGCACGGAGGCGGGGGACAGGCATCCAACAGAGCAGACGCACCCCCAGTCGAGATGGCCCCACAAGTGAGACAGATGACAACGTAGCCAGGAGAGACTCGCAACTCGTGCCCCCGATCACTCCTGGGGTAAATGTCTCCAGAGACGGGCAAAGGGGAAAGGGGCCGAGAGCTGGGAAGACGCGAACCTCCCCGAGGCCCTTGTACACGGCGAAGCTTCGGCGCGGGCTCCCCCCGAGCGGAGAGAGCAGGGCGCGCCTGAACGGCACGGACGGCGTCGTGTAGGTCGTCGTCGCCAGCAGGGGCGCAGTTCACCCTTGTCCCTCTGTCAGGAGGGAGAGGGGCAGAAACACGAGCTCGAACGACTCTCAAGTCGGGGGAAGAAGAGCGAGCGCGAGCACGAGCAGGAGCAGTACTCGCAGCCGCAGCAGGAGGGGCAGCGGAGGAGGAGGAGGTGGAGGGGGGCAAACCTCGTGACACGACGGGAGCTCGAGGCTGCGCAGCCTGAGCTCGATCAACATCCTGACCAGGAATCCCCCACTCCCACGACACAGACGACGGCCCCGACTCAGCCCCCACACCCAAGTCATCGTGAAACGCCGCCTCCTCAGCGATCATAAGATCCAAATCTTCAAAGCCCCCTGAAGCCAGGGGGTCAGAAATCAGGGCAGTAGGAAAGGTCACATCACCCTGCCTGGCACGCACATTCCTGTGATGGGGCGAGGCCAGACGAGCGCGGATCTGCGGAAGGGCCCTCCTCCCAGACGACGGCGACGGCGACGACGTCCGAACCCTCCCCCCACCGTCACCTGGCGGAACAGGAGTGCTAACAGGGGTAGGCTGGCTGAGCTCACAATCCTGAGAACCAGCCTTGCTCCCCAGACTTCCCCCGCAGAGCGAAGGATCCTCGCACAAAGAGATATCTTCGCAGGGCAACGGCGACGCGCGAATATCTTGCGCTGTTTGTCAGACCGACAAGTCTTGGAGCACGAGGCGCATCGCCATCCGTTGCTGCACGGAAAAAAACACATGCAGGAGCCCTGGGTCAAGCGGAGCAGCCGCGCGAGCGGCAGCAGAGGCGCGAGCCTTCCGTCGTTGCTCAAAACGATCCTGACCTGGGGCAACCGTCTCAGACATGTACTTCGTATGAGCGCGGGCCATCCAAGTGAGAGTCTTGCGAGTGGCCTTATACAGCCGTTTCATAAAGAGAGCATCAGAGTCTGAAGCCGCATGGAAATCACGGCCCTGGGTGGCCGCAAAGTCGGCCCAACGGTTTCCACGAGCCTCAAAAGACATGCCCTTCTGGTGCCCTGGGGTATGGAAAACCTGAAGCTGAGAACTCAATCCTCCAATATCCTCTATCCTACGCCAAATTTCACACCACAGATCACTGTTTGGGCGCCTCGGAGAGCACCCCCACGATGGCCCACGAGCAAGGCCTTCAGGCAAATCCAGGTAATCTGTGTAAATGGTGATCGGCAACATCGCAACTCTCAAAATCTGAACAACCGCATATAGCTCAGCCCGTGGGGAAGTTTGAACTGGGCCAGGCAAGGCCCCATACACGCACAACAGAATACGATGATCCCCGACTTGCACGAAGCCCCATCCAGCCCGAGAGGCCTCAGGCCAGTAGTGATATTTACGACAAGCACCGTCGGAACACACATGCCCAGTGATAGCCTGACAGTCTCCGTACATCGAATGCCACGTGCATGGGTCGTCCCTAGCAGGAATGGCTGGAAATACAGACCGTGGAAGTAATCCGCGGGCCCCAAACCACGAAGTTGGGGTCGGGTGAGGAAGCACTGATTTATCATGATCGTCATACAAGATGTTGCGCCCCTCCTCATTGCAGACACACGTCCACGGAATGTGGAAGACGTCAGCAGAGACCTCTGGACACAAAGGACACTGAGCGGCAGCAACATATCCGCACGAATATCGACGAGCTGGAGTCCACAAACCTCCCGTGACCATGGCCCTCAGGGTGCCTGCTGTTTGATATGATAAGAGGTAGGGCT